TTGATGTTGACACTTTGCGAAAGGCAAAAGGCAATCTTAGCATGAACCCCAGGAACCAGTAAGTCTACTTTAACATATAAAAATTCCTTTTGGAATCTCTCTTTATCTCTACCCTCCCCGCCCCCCAACAAAGATAGATGTTGGCAATCATCCTACAACATATGACCCACTGATAGACATCTGAAGAATCTCATGACTGAGTTTTTACTAAATGGTAATAAATGACTTTTTCCTAACAATAGGTAGTCCCCTCAGGATCCTGGAAACCTTATTTCCAAAATACCTGAGAGACTTATGCTGTCCCTAATCCCCTACCAACTTGAAAGAATATAATGGGCCTCTCCTTAAGACCCCAGGGCAGGTCTTTCTGTCCACAGGTCCTGTCCTGTGCTTTAATAAAATCACCTTTTGCACGAAGATGACTCAAGAATTCTTTCTTGACCCGTGCCTTCAAACTCTAACTTTCTTCCATCAGTTACTCAGTCTCTATTAACCATAATCATTATAAACATTGCAGGCATAAAGAGCAACTAAGCAATCCACTTCGTATCCCAAGTCCCACCCTGATAACAACTGTTTTCCAGTCACCTTCACAGTACAAAAAAAACCTTCTGATAATCATTAATGTAATTGTCTTAAAATCTAATCTTTTCAACATGAAAACCATAGAGATGGACTGCATATCTTTCTTTGGTTGCTCCTTTGGGGTAGAGTTACTAAGAGAGCAGCAGGAGGGGATTTGGCAGGGGAAGGGATATGACGGAACTGTCCTACATTCTGACTGACGCTGTGGTTATGAAACTCAGTGCATTGGTCAAAATTCATGAAAGTGTATACCAGAAAGAATGAATTTTACCATAAACAAATTTAAAAATAATTTTTTAAAATTTTTATTTATTTATGAGAGAGAGAGAGAGAGAGAGAGAGAGAGAGGCAGAGACACAGGCAGAGGGAGAAGCAGGCTCCATGCACCGGGAGCCCGACGTGGGACTCGATCCCGGGTCTCCAGGATCGCGCCCTGGGCCAAAGGCAGGCGCCAAACCGCTGCGCCACCCAGGGATCCCTAAAAATAATTTTTAATTGCAAAACAAAAAATTCAACCTTTTCTACCTAGAGAATCAACATAGGGACACAAATGAATTTAAATGTCCAAGATGTTGTAACAGCAAATTCTATATATTATCCTATAACTAACGTAAGTCAAACCCAATCTTAGTTACCAGCTCTGATTTATTCAAGCACAAAACGTCAATACCATAATAACCAGGAGACACTGCCTTTCTGTAACAGAAGCAAAAACTTTAGAAATGTACCCATACCAACACTAAATGAGTGGTACTCTCCACTTAGATGTCTACTCTGTTACCTAGTGGGCAGGTTTCCTAGTGTGCATCCGTTATCATTTTCAATCTCCAAAAAGTAATATACAAAGAGTAGGCTTTAAAGATTTAACACAGTTTAAAATGATTAGGCAGGTACATATCAAGAGCTACAACCCACTGAAAAGTCAACGCATGCATTTTGCATTTTAAAAAAGCCATCACAGGGATGACTGGGTGGCTCAGTGGTTGAGCGTCTGCCTTCCGCTCAAGGCGTGATCCTGGAGTTCCCGGATGGACTGATCGAGTCCCACATCAGTCTCCCTGCGTGGAGCCTGCTTCTCCCTCTGCCTGTGTCTCTGCCTCTCTCTGTGTGTCTCTCATGAATAAATAAATAAAATCTTAAAAAAAAAATAAAAAACCATAACACGTTTCATAAAACATTAATTCATAAACTGACGCAAAGGTAAAAAATCCCAATACATACCCATTTTACCACTGGCATCCTCTGTTCAGTATATATAGAAGGCATGGACACACAAAATAATTGGACTTTTCCCCCCTCCCGCAATCCCAATAAGCTGGAGAACAAAGCAATGTGAAAAGGGGTACTGTGAAAATAAAAACAACCTCAAAGTCCTTCAATTGATGAATGTGTACACAAATCACAGTATATTTAGCAAGAGAATACTACCTAGCAATTAAAAAGAAATAACTATTGATACTTGCAACAAAGAAGGCTCTCAATCCTGAAAAGACACCAGCCACTCTTCCAACTTCCACCAAAAACCAGCACTCTAAGATTCCTTTTAGATAAGCCAAGAAATGCAAACTTATCTATAGTGACATCTATGGTGACAGAGAAATGAGTGGTTGCCTAGAAGACAGTGGCTAGGATTATAAAACAATACAAGGAAATTCAGGGGAATGATGCTGCTCCTACCCCATCCCACCATCCCCACTTTCAGAAGCAGGACTGAGAATTCCTGAGACAAGTGAGATTTGGATTTCTCATTACAGGAAGACAGAAGAGAGCAAGATGGCAAAAAAAAAAAAAAAAAAAAAAAAAAAAAAAAAAAACAAGGGGAATAAAAGGGCCCGAGGTTTTCCAAGTCAATACTGAACTGCTGAAAACATGCAGGCTTTTGAATTCAACTTGTAATAAATTAAAAGTAAAATATGTGCAAAGGTGTTGCCATGACTACAGTTACATTGATAATAGGCCAGGCTGACAAATCCTCAACCTTTTAGAATGCTAAATTGGTACCCTGACATCAAGTTGATGGACTAAAAGCACAGGAAAGAGGCTCCTGGGTGGCTCAGCCCCGTTAAGCAGCAGACCCTTGATTTTGGCTCAGTTCATGATCTCAGGACTCTTAGAGGGGGCCCCCCCCGCTTCCGGTTCCACACTGGTCCTGTTGCCTGCTTGGGATTCTCTCTTGGTCTTCCACTCTCGAATAATTTAAAAAAAAAAAAAAAAGTAAAAAAGAAAAACCCAGGAAAACATGTCGTATGGTCCACTGCGTGTAAAACATGTAATCAACTGACGATGTATCTATCGTTAACTAAGAAACACAGGTTGAGGGGCACGTGGGTGGCTCAGTGGTTAAGCCTCTGCCTTCCGCCCAGGTCGCTCAGGTCATGATCCCCGTGTCCCGGGAGGAGTCCTGCATCCGGTTCCCCGCAGGGAGCCTGCTTCTCCCTCTGCCTAGGTCTCTGCCTCTCTGTGTGTCTCTCACCAATAAATAAATAAAAATCTTAAGGGGAGGGGGGAGAAATCAAGAAACACATGTTGAAAAGAGACATTCTCTAGTTCCTGTTCTGAATTAACGTTCCTTGAATTTTAAGGTCCACTCGATAGAAAAGACTCCGATTCAGTGGGTCTTGAGGTGGGGTCTGGCGCTACAGTCTCTAAGAGGCTCGCAGGTGATGCCGGTCGGTGAACCGCACTTTGAGCAAGACACTAAGTAACCTGAAAATCGGTCATGAAATTAGCCACCTGGCCTACAAATGTGATGGCACGGGGGACCGAAGACCTAAGTGTCAGCTGATCCCTAGTACAGAAAAAAAGGAAGGTGAGGAGACCCAGGAAGAAGCAAAGGGATACCCGTCACAGTCCGGCAGCGCAAACAATCACAGGATATTGCTCCTTGCCCAGGTCAGCTAGACTGTAAACTCCGTGAAAGAAGAGGGTTGGTTGGTTGGTTTTCTTTTGGTCTCCTGCAGAATCCCGGTGGCCGAGCACACCGCGGGTTCTCCCTGAACGCAGGGAATGCGTGAATGGCCGGGCAGTACGTACCAACACCATTCGTACTTAGGTCGTGACTTAAAAAAGATTGAGAAGAGACTGTATGTGCACAGACGGCTGTGGGCAGCCACAGGTTGATACAAATACCTGGCCCATTCACCATACTCCATTTCTCCCTAGGGAAAAAAAATCTCCAGACCCCTACACTTCCACTTTTACGCCCAGGTTTTCCACACTCTTATGTTAACGACTCTTTAGCACTTGGAAACAATGAAAAAAGGTGGCAGCACAGGGGAAAGAACTCAGAAAAAGCTCAAAAATCAAAAAAGGAAAAAAAAAAAAAAACCCAAAGGGAGAGAGATGAGCAAACAGCTCGAGGGAAAGAACACCTTCGCTTGTGCGGAGTGCCAGGTTCTTACCTAGGATAGTAGCAGGGTTTGGGTTCGGGCTTTTATTAGTTTTGTTAGTGTCCAGGGTCACAGATGTAGTAGTACTCGGCTGAGGAACTCAGACTCAACAGGGAGCAGGCTCTCCAGCCCACCTTCAGATGCTTTGGGGACTCAAGCTTCGGCCTTACTTCCCCTTTCCCCGGGGTCTCCCCGTGCGTTGGTAAAAACGCAGCCGCCGCCCAAACACAAGATGAACGGGGCGGCCTCACAGCCGGCCGGAAGCCAAAACCAGCACCCAAGATGGCGAAACGCTGCGCGAGGGGCCCCGGATAGCGCGAGGAATCTACCCCAAAGAAAAATGGCCTCCGCCCGTTTTTCAAGGAGGGCCCAAAACAAAAATGGCGGAAAAGACTGGCTATTCGGAGACTAGGAACGCCGTATGATTGGCAGGTAATGAGTCGCGGTTACCCCTAGCGCTAGACAGCGGAGGCGATGGAGGGGGCGGGGAATACGCGTTTCTGTGGTACAGAGCTTCTAGATACCGGGAAACTACTAGCACAAGAGTTAGGTCATTAAAAAGGTCGGAAAGCAAAAGTGGCTTTCAGCTCAGGGCGAAAGCTCCGTGAGGGCGACGGGCTCTCACTGCGCATGTCCGCTTTCCAGCCCGATCCAGGGAGGCGGTGACGAGCGAGTCCTTCTCTCCCGGCTTTGGAGGCAGGCGTAAAAGAGGGCGGGGAATTGGCGCCTGACGACGAGTCGGGCGCCCTCGGAAGCGCGGGCGGCGGAAAGCCGTTGGCTACTTTGTCATTCGTTCAATAATAGCTCTGAAGTGCGCGCCACTAGGCAGACTCTGGGCCCTGACAGGTCCACTTGATGTTATTTAAATTCCTTAGTTTCGACTCATTTGCTGAGACGAACACCGAATAAGCGCCGCCCCCGGCCCCTTCCGGTCTCGGCCGAAGGCTTTCTGGGCTGAGAACCTCGCGAGAACCCGGAGGAGCGGCCTGGGAGCAGCGCCCGCCCCCGCGTCCGCGCCCGCGCCTGCGCCCGCGCCCACCCAGCGCCGCGCATGCTCCGTGTCCGCGCGCCGAGCGCTGGTTACCAGCACCGGCTGCGGCGGCTGCGTGGGGCCCGGCCTCTGGGGCCGGCTGGCGGCGGCGGCCTAGGGAGGCTCGGCGGCTGGCGGGCAGGTGAGAGCGCTGGCACCTCAGGTGGAAAACCTGCTTTCTGCCTGGCCGGAGAGAGGGGAGGTGGACTTGTTGGTGCCTCCCACCCCATCTCGGGAAGGTCACTGGTGTCTTCGCTGAAGGATCCTTGGGGGCGGGGGCGGGGGCGGGGAGGGGGCGGGGAGGGGGCCGGCTTCTTAGGAAACTGAAGAGCGACACTGAACGGAGCCGCAGCCCGTGTTTGCTGATGGGAGCGACCCCGCAGAGGGCAGAGTTCTGGGCGCAGACTGCCCCCGCCCCCGCCCCCGCCCGCGTCTGCGCGGCCACCCCGCCCAGGAGATGGAGGCGGTGTTCCCGCGAAAGCCCCGGCTCGCTGGGGCGCGTGACTGCCGGCCACGCCCTCGCAGGCCGAGGGCGCTGCGTGCCCGGGTCGGCCCGGGGCTGGGGCCACCGGACGAGGACCTGGGCGTCAGAAGTGTGCGCCGCTTGGTCGCTAGTGCCCGCTGTGTGAAGGCAGAAGCTGGGCTCCGCGGACTTGCCCTTATGGGGACGGAAATCCTTTAGAGGTGGAGGCCCCCTGGGCCAGGTGCACCTTTTTCTCGAGGAGGGCCAGGCCCGGATACTGTTGCTGTGTCGGAGGCTCTCAGTCCGGCAGTCGGATCCAGTCACTCATTCACTGACCTTGCCCATCTGTGCCCATGCTCCCATGTGTATGTATATTGGTGGCAGTGTGCTGAGCTGGCAGATTCGGCGGTGATCAAGGCAGACACGGTCCCTGACCCCCCTGGAGCTTGTATCCTAGCGATGGGAGGAGAGACCATAAACAAGTACTCTGATAACGAGCCAAGATGTTCCCGGATTATCCGAGGTTGGGTTCCCTGGGAAGCAGGCTCCAAAGAGGAGATTTGTGGGTGGGACGTTTATTAGGAAGAACTCGTTTGGGTCTCACAAAGGAATAAAGGGAGCAGGAATTGGTGGATAGAAAAAGTCAAGCTGCGCTGCAGCCCCAAGGGAACGTTAACTGTGGCCCTGGGGTCCACCTGGGTGGTCATTGGATGCCTGCTGTACTGAAAAGGAGGGGAGACTTAACGCTCTTTTCTACCAGGTCATTCCCGGAAGGGGGCTGGCAACCGAGGGCTGTCTCCGCAGTCCCGAGAGCTAGGGAAATAATCCCTTTCGTCCTTAAAGGGGATCGGGGTGGCTGCGATGGGCACAGCACTCCCCCACAACAGTAGGGCTTTGAAGGCAGTGGTGGGATGTGTTAGGGAGTAAAGGGTGTGGGAGAGGGAAGGAATTGAGAGTGGGTGCTCAGAAAAAGGCTGGGTAGGTGACGCGTGAATTACAGCTGAAGCCCGAGAATGAGCTCCCCTGTGCAGGACAAGGTGGGGGAAGATACTCCGCTTTTTGCTCTGCCCCGAGAGTACAACAGAAAACAAATGGCTGCTACCTTCTGTTACAGTGGGTGGCTGTTACTGGTTCCCATACACGCTGACTCCCTGCTATGACTAAAGATGGAGTACGTAAAAATAGATGGGAACTAATTCAGAGGAAGATAGAGGAGAAACTGAGAGGTCCAGAAGTTTTGAAAAGTCAGTGACTTTTGGTAAAGACTTTTAATCTCTACCGTTTTGTTTTGTTTTCTCTTGTTTTGGGGGGGGGGGGTTCCTGCTCGCATACAGCAGGTAATCATGTTTTATTTGGATCGTGCCTTTCTCTTCCCAAGCTTTCTCTTTGAGGACAGGAGCCATGCCTTATTCATTACAGTAGTCCCACCCTCACCCAGCCTAATGGGTCCATAGTACCCAATAGACATTTGGATAGAATTAATCTCGCACGTATTGGACGTGAAAATTGATAAGCCCAAGTGATAGAAACACTGTTTTGGGATCTGTCTCCACAATACTCTTCAGTTTTATAAATTACAACCAAATATTAATGGAAATATTAAATGATAATACACTATTGCTTTGGTCAGAATCTCCAGAGATGCCTATTTCTGTTAATTTGTATTAAAGATAATATCTTTCCAATAGTAATAGTTGCCATGTGTCGAGTGCTTCCCACGTACCAGACCCTGTACTAAGCCATAAATATATATATATATATATATATATATATATATATATGTAGTGATCTTCATAATGTAGCCAGTATTACAGACTATTAAATTGAGGCAGAAGAGAAGTGATTTGCCCAAGATTATAACTAATTTTTGGTGGTTAGAATTCAATTCCCATCATTACTTAATTCCTTTGCTGTTAAGTAACATAACATTTCAGGAGTTACCTTTCCTATAACATCCTAGAATCTGATTACAGCTCTACCTCCCTCTAATCTAAATAGCCCCAGAAACCTGGGAAGTTCTTTCATCAGAACCGGGGTAGTTTTATTCACATCTAGACTAACTGAAACTGCCAGTGAAGCAGGCCTCCTTTGTGGGGACGGCTTCCCTTAGTCAAGCATTCCTGTCCTCTCCTGTTTTTGCTATACTCTAGGCTGGCTCTGTTCCTTTTGAAATAATGAAAATGAACAATAGCTAATCACGGAGTCCAGACTAAATGGCACAAATGTATTTACTTCACGACAACCTTGTGATGTGGAAGTCATCATTGCATTCATTTTACAGATGATGACACTGAGGCATAGTGAGATTAAGGGACTCTTCCAAAGTCAAGCTAGTTGTGAAGTGCTGAGGTGGAGATTGAAAGCTCAGGCAATAGGATTCCACAGTTCATCCCCTTAATCGCACTACCCAGCAGTGCCTTCTTACTAAAATGATTTGCTGTCCTTTACCTTCTGAAAACTGGTAAATAGAAACTAGATCCTGGTGGGCTTCGGTGCTGTACTAAGAAATTTAGATTTCACCTTCAAATAAAAAATATCACTAATCGCTTCTAAGCAAAGCATAAACAACCAGATTTGGGTTTTTTGCAAGATGGCTGTTAAATGGTTGGAGAATATTTAGGGAGGAGCAAAAGAGAACAGTGGTTCTCAAACTTTAACTTAAAAAACACAGATTACTGGACCCCACCCTAGAGTTTATGATTTGGTAGGTCAGAGGTGGCCCAAAAACTTGCCTTTCTCATAAGGTGATGATGCTAATGCTACTGATGAGGGGACCACACTTTGAGATTATAAGCAGGGACATCACGTGAAGTGATGAGGGTCTGGACTATCACTGTGGGGAGAGGTTATATGAGATTATCATGTCAAATGGCAGGACTGGGTGCTGACTTGATGAGGAATACAAGGAAAAGGCAGAGACCACTATATCCAGACTTTTGAATTCGAAAGGCTTAGTAGGTAATGCTTTTGTTTTTGTTTTTTAAATCTTTTTTTTTTTTTTTTAATTTATGATAGTCACAGAGAGAGAGGCGCAGAGACATAGGCAGAGGGAGAAGCAGGCTCCATGCACCGGGAGCCCGATGTGGGATTCGATCCCGGGTCTCCAGGATCGCGCCCTGGGCCAAAGGCAGGCGCCAAACCGCTGCGCCACCCAGGGATCCCTTGTTTTTGTTTTTTAACCAAAATAGTTAATAGAGGTAGAACAGCAGTTTGGGAATGAAAGAGGATTCATATTTATGTGAAATGAGTTTAGACTGTTTGTGGGTACAGGTAGAGGTGAACAGTAGCAGTTGGATGTGCGTGAGCTGGAGATGAAGGTGCAGCCAACATTGATGGATGGATGTGCTATAATAGGAGCTGTGGATGTGAGTGAGACCACCCAGAGAACGGACACAGGGAAGAGACAGAGACGACTGAGAACAGATCTTTGATGAGGGTGAATAGGTGGATAGAAACCGAGGAGCCATTAAAGGAGACTCACAAGGAACAGACCAGAGTCCCAGGTACTTATGGGAGTTCCTGGAACACATCAAAATGCTTCAGAGATCAAGTAAGGGAGAGATTGGTGATCTTCACAGAGCAGTTTCCATGGAGAGTGGAGAACAAAAGCAGATTACTTGAGTTTGAAGATGGAAGTGGGAAGTGACCCTAGGAAAGGATTCATTATTTGAAAGGAATCCGTGTGCATAGTAGCTGGAAGGGAGACTGGGAAAGGGCAGTTGCTTTAGGAAATTTGTTTGGGCTCTTCGATGGGGAAAAATGGTCAGGTTTTGCAGAGGAGGAAGACCCATTATAAGTAGGAGGTGGGAGATGTAAGAGGGATAATGGAGTAGCAGGAAGGAGCGTAAGATGAGCTGAGATGGATCAGTTTTACATGTGAGACAGGAAGCTCAGAGTGCTAATACCCAGTAGCCACAATTTCTTTTGGCCATGAGGTTAGCTGCAGAAACAGGTGCAGAGTAAAATAGAACTCTTGAAAATGATGAAAATAGAAATCGCTCTTTTAGGGATTCAGAGCTAACTAGGGGTATGTGGTCACTGCTGTAGCCCTAAGGGGCCAGTTAACTGCACACTTGATCTGGAACAATCTGCCTTTCAGCGTGATACGCACTCCCCTTCCCCGACCTTCCTCAGCATCAAATGGCAGCCAGTTGTAAAAACAGCAAGGGAATATAAAGTTTAAGTGTACTTAGGTATAAACTCTAAACAACAACACAACCTTTCTGATACACAGCCTGAAGTAAACTGATTTTCTTTTTCATTAGGACCTAATCACTCACTCACTGTTCAAATTTTGGGCTGCCAACAATTAGTAAAGCTCCCATATAAGTTGTGATGCTTTCAGTATATTATTTATTTATAAAGACACTGAATTCACATCAATGGTGGGAGAGGTAGTAGAGACCATAAAATACATAACGGTTGACCTTCACTGTGTTCTAGACCAGCTGTGCTATAAGCACAGTAGCTACTGGGTGTAGGTCAAGCCGACCTTGGGAGTGGGGAGAACTATGGTAGGATTTTACCAAATAGAAACTTTAGAACTTGGGTATGATCCACTCAGTTCTCCAAGAGCTGATAGTAATGTATTTGGTGTGTGTGTTTTTACAAGATGAAAATTCAGCAAAACTGTTATTTTTGATGATACAGATAGAAAAGGGGGGAAAAAAGAAACTCTTGATCCCTAATATGTCAGTCAGTTGAATAAGCATGAAGACAGTACACAGAAATTTCAAATGTATACACAGAAAGTGCCAACATTTAAACTGCCATATTAAAAACTGAGGATATTTTTGATGTCAGAGATTGGAGTTCAGAAATGAAGATTTCCCAAATAACTAAAGCCACCATTATCATTGTAAAAGAAAAGGCCTTCTACAGCTCCAGTAAACTTCATCACATACAATTACAAGATCTGGGCTAATTGTTTGTTTAACATTCTGTCTAATGTCCTCTTCACATTTAAATTACTTTTGGTGGAAGTTTTTAAAAATCGATTATTTTTCAAATACTTTTAAGCAGAGCGGTAATGAAAGCCTGAATTAGAATCTACCTTACATTGTGTCCAAAAGACCAGCAGATGGCACTCAGCAAGCCCGGTAGACAAAGTGATGACCTTTTACAGAATATTTCTTGGACCTAGGTTGCTGTAGGCCTAATTTAGAGATGGCCAGTAACAAAACTTGATGGTTGTAATTGACATGATGCTACACAGAAAGAGTAAACTGACATCTAGAGCCAGGCTGTTTAGGATTTGGTAGGAAGCTTCATTGCCTTTTGGTCCTTTGCCTTACTGTCCTGTTCTGTCACCCAGAAACCTTCATTTAGCTTGGATGTGACAAGCTGCAGCAAGCCTGTCAGAGGCCTTAGCGGTAGAAATTGAAGAGATAATTCCTGTAATACATAGTAGAAGGAGGGAGAGTTGCTACTTTAGATACAGAAATACTGTAACTTGAGATACTATTTGTGGTCTGAAGTAATATATCTGTGTTTTCCTTTCTTGGCCTTTTTATTTATATGTACTCAGAAGATTACAATATTTTATTAAGGTGGAGGAGATAAAGCAAGCTTCTCCCCATTTTGTTCATTAACTCTTGCTGTTCATTCTATACTAAGAATTAAGCTAAAGAAAACTGAACTAAAATTAGCACAGCTAATCTGAACTATTAGTAGGTCACAGATGTGTATTTGCAGGATATAGACTCTTAATTTTGGATAAGTTGGCACAAGACCAGTGTTAACCTCTTACATACCTGACATGAGAATCAGAAAAACATGTCAGGCTTAATGCATTAGGATAGTTGATCTCGGTGACTCTTACAAGTGAGCACGATGCACTCAGAATGTTCTTCTTGTCCATCATCGTGCACTGAAAATTCTGATTAACTCTACTGCCAAAGCTGGGTCACTAATTCTTGACTTTTGAAAATGGCCTGAAAGAATACCAGCCAAGATTTTAGGACTCCAAAATCCAAGCTGAGTCCCACAATTAACTGAAAGTAATCTTGGAATCAATCATTTATTGTTTCCTCATTTATGAAGTGGCCTCATAAAACTGCTATGAAAACAAAATGAGAAAAAATGAGAAACCTTTGGAATAATGCAAGATTAGAGTATTTAAAAGCATTATCTGTGTTAAGATTGCCTCTGAATGTATTTTAAATTTAACGAAAGGCCTTTCAATCAATAAAACTATACATGCTATTTTACTTGACCTAAACTTAGTAATTTTACTTCTATTCTCTCCCTTTCTCTCATCTTTCCAAGAGTCCCATGCTTTCTTGGTTTGTTAAAAGTGCGCTTAAAGAAGATTCAGAAAAGATAAGAGAAAGGCAGTTGCAGGTCCACCAAAGTTGGGTAAGGAGGAGGAAAAATCATTCTGCTCTCATTTCTGTTGCTTCACTCCAGGCAAACTTGTAAAGCTCAATGAATAAACAGGAAGGACTTCCTTATTTTCAGGGACCAGCCTGTTACTGTTCATCAAATCTGATCATTTTGAGTGCATTCTTGTTTTGTTTCAGACTCAGGAATCTCTCCTGTCAGTAAAAGAGCTCTATCTCACTTGCAATGACTTGCCAGGTGTTTTGAGGGAAGGACTATCTCAAGAGAAGTTGTATTTAGCTTAATTTCCCATTTCCCAAACTGAATCTCAGTATCCCTTCTGCTCAGGAATACTATGAGACTTTGTAAAAGTCAAGGTTTTAAAAATGTCATAAATTCATTTGGAAAATGAGTTGATGAAAAAATCTGATAATTCTTTATGTTATCCTGAGAAGCAGCATATAGGGACTATAAGCAAGGACTCTGGAATATTTTCAAGAATATTTGTTGCCATAGCACATTTAGCAATAAATTTTAACATTGAGACAAATCTCAAATTTCTGTCCATCAGAGATCTATCAAATTAGCTTATCTGCATACAATCAAAAACTATGCAGCTATCAAAAATAATGAAGATTTATATTCTTAGGCAAGAAAAGATTATTAAAACAGCATGTAAAGATGACAGACGTTTTGAGCTTTCTCAAATTTTAATTTTTAAAGATTTTATTTATTTATTCATGAGAGACGCAGGGAGAGAGAGAGAGACAGAGACACAGGCAGAGGGAGAAGCAGGCTTCATGCAGGGAGCCTGATGTGGGACTCGATCCCAGGTCTCCAGGATCATGCCCCTGGCTGAAGGTGGCACTAAACCACTGAGCCACCAAGGCTGCCCTATATTTTTTAACTTTAAAAAGCAAGCCTAGGGATCCCTGGGTGGCGCAGCGGTTTGGCGCCTGCCTTTGGCCCAGGGCGCGATCCTGGAGACCCGGGATCGAATCCCACGTCGGGCTCCCGGTGCATGGAGCCTGCTTCTCCCTCTGCCTGTGTCTCTGCCTCTCTCTCTCTCACTGTGTGCCTATCATAAATAAATAAATAAATAAATAAAAAGCAAGCCTATATTATATTAGAAATGGCAGGATGCTACTTTTCATTTTGAAAAAATCCCACAGAAGAATTGAAAAAAGAAAAATTGTTAAAATTTTATCACCAAAATATATTTGATTGTATGTTAAAGCTTCACAAGAAGATAGGCACAAAATAAGGAGCATATCACCTCACTTCCAGGTTGAATGTCAAATTTCAAAAGTCTGTTGTTTTTTTTTCTTAAAACTAATAATGAGCTTTACTTAATAAAGTCTAATGTGTTTTGTCCTGGGAAGTGGGTTCTTCAGGCAATTGGATACATATGATTGCTGGAAAGCTATTATATGAAAGAAATGAAGGAGATTAAAGTTTCTGTACCAAATTTTAAAAGATTGCTAGTTCCATCTGGTTTGATGGAGATGGACTATTAGGTATACAGTGTGGTAGTATTTTTATGTAAATTTAAAAGCCCTATCATCCTGATCCTGATAGTTTTCCAAGCATCTCAGTACAACAGAATAATTACTGGAAAATAGTTACCTGCCTCTCACTCCCATTAGCCAAATCAATATATGAGATATAGAGGAAATGGGGGCATGTAGATGTTGCATAAACATTAAAGCAATTAATCATTAGATCAGTCTACATTAATTGCTAACCAGGAAGCCTGTTAACAGGACCTCAGTGACAATGGCCAATAATGAGTTTTCAACCAAAATAGATAATAATTCCCAGTTTTAACTAAGCCTAAGTGTAGAAAAAGATACATAGACCCTTAAGTTATCCTAATGGAAATGAATAATAGACTGTCAAACACAAAGTTTATGTAAATAAAATGGAATGCCTCCTTTGTCCTTAACCCTTGGATGACCCAAGGAGTCATTAAATGTACGCTAACTTGATGCTAATCCAGACTCTTCTCAAAGTTCACGGGTACATCATCACACATTGTGTTCTACATGGAGAGAATATTCTGTACACTTTCCCAAACATTGCTGTTACAGATTGTAGTTTATTTAATTGGTTCTGAATTTTAGTTATTGAGTTATCTGTCCCAACTTTATTATTTTATTCTTTTATACAAACAACTCTCTTTTCTGTAAACTGTTTCCCTAAAAGTTTATAATTCAAGAAAAATCTGATAAATACTGAATTATGTTAGTAATCAGGGAGAAGTAAACCGTGAATAGAAGAGATGCCATCCATTAAAAGTAGTGTGTCCTGATAACCTCATGTCGAGAGTGTCAGAGTTGCTGGAGTCACCGTAAGTATTGATGAGACTAGATATGAATGACGATATCTTTGAAACCTTTCATTGAAGGTATTTTGTGGACAAAATATCAAATCTGTCAACACAAGCCAGTTAACTGGGGCAGCCTGTCTCTCTTTCCCTCTATGAAGTAGTCCCTACTATAGTTCTTCCTCATTACCCCAAATCACGAAGGGTTTTATTGTATCTTCAAATTGAAGGCATTTTGTATAGTGGGCTTCACAGTGAAATTTAATGATACAGTTCATTGTGATTGGCTTTCTCCAGAGACAGAACATAAGTATGTCAATAAAAGGTATGGTCCTTAAAGGTTACAAAAAGTATATAGGATATAAGAGCACTTTATCTTTTTTATATATTTTATTTATTTATTTATTCATGAAAGACACAGAGAGAGAGAGGCAGAGACACAGGCAGAGGGAGAAGCAGGCTCCATGCAGGGAGTCTGATGCAGGACTCGATCCAGGGTCTCCAGGATCATGCCCTGGGCCAAAAGCAGGCACTAAACTGCTGAGCCACCCAAGGGTCCCACAAGAGCACTTTAGAACAGGAAAAGGGCATAGAATACTTTCAGTTACAAAGTAGGCCATTATTTTTTCCATATAATAGTTTAAGTTTTACAACAAAGTCCTTATAAAATTGATTTTGGACACTGGGAGAAAGGGTTTCTAATGCTGGAAGTGATATGTGTACATAGGCATAACTCTAAGCTTTCTGTTTATTTCTTTTTTAAGATTTATTTATTTTAAAGACAGCACATGTGCTAGAGTGGCACATAGGACAGAGGGAGGGAGGGAGAATCCCAAGCAGACTCCCTGCTGAGCACAGAGCCCCACACAGGGCTGGATCTCACGACACTGAGATCATGACTTAAGCGGAAATCAGGAGTCGGATGCTCAACTGATTGAGCCACCCACGTACCCCTCTATTTTTAATACACACAGAACACTGAGACAGTTAAGGTGTTTAACTCATTAGCAGCATATTTTAATCTTGACTTAAAAGGGAAAAGAGTAAAAGTTTTGTTCAGACATTTTTCTAATGGCATTCATACAAAATTATTGTAACATAAAAGACTGCATGGTACTGAAACTCAGATACATGCAGTTGAACCTAATTCTAATTCTTAGTTATACTCCTTAGTTGATGGAGTAGTCCTTATTGCCTTTCTGTGCTCAGAAAGGAACTCTGAAAGTGGGCCCATGCATACTGTCATAAGTCTAACCCCTAAAGTCTAATGAGCATCCTTTAAATTAAAAAGTATGAGTTTTTAATTTTTTTTTATTTATTTTTTATTTATTTATTTATGATAGTCACACAGAATGAGACAGAGAGGCAGAGACACAGGCAGAGGGAGAAGCTGGCTCCATGCACCGGGAGCCCGACGTGGGATTCGATCCCGGGTCTCCAGGATCGCGCCCCGGGCCAAAGGCAGGCGCTAAACCGCTGCGCCACCCAGGGATCCCTATAATGAGTTTTTAGAGGTTGTCCAGACTCAAGTTCCCAAACCCAACAGATCATCAAAAACAGACTTCCCGGACCACACCCCATGCTTTCCAAACCCAAGACAGAGGAAAGGAATCTTTTTAAATACCACCTAGCTTTGTAACACCAGGCAGGCTACTAGCCCCAATTTCTCTTTGTAAACTGGGTAGACAGTAAACCCTATAGGGTAGAGTTATTAGTTATAAGGGTAAACATTAAAATCCTGTGCTTCCGGACATAAGTAGAAATGGCATTAATTCATCCTACCTCAGAGCGCATGCCAAAGTTCACTTGCTACACGTGGAATCCATGCATGACTGTCCCAATCTCAGCTGAAACACCATCACGTGTGTCAGAATGCAGAATCTAAATTCTTAGTGCATGTATAAGGATTACCATTTGATTCTTCTGTTAAAATTCTGACTAAATGTAATTTTTTTAAATCTAATTTTACTGTGGCTCAGAGAATATATGATTAATTATATAAGGAAAATGATATCTATGCATGAGCATTTCCAAAGATTTCTATAGCTTTTCTAGCAGGTCATATGGCTCCTTTACAATCTTTAACTAAAGGTTTATGTTGCTTTATAAGTTTCTCAAGCCTGACTTCCTGCTATCCCCTTGAACCTACAACATATCCTTTTTTTTTTTTTTTTTTTTTTTTTTTTTTAATTCATGAGAGACAAGGAGAGAGAGATGCAGAGACATAGGCAAAGGGAGAAGCAGGCTCCATGCAGGGAGCCCGACGTGCGACTCCATCCCGGGTCTCCAGGGTCATGCCCTGGGCTGAAGGCGGCGCTAAACCACTGAGCCACCCGGGCTTGCCCCAACATACCCATTTTTGTTAGTTAATATTACACTATATTGCGCCCCAAAATATTTAATAGTTGACTTTTATTAGAGTGCAATATTCTACTTGTAGGAGTTCATAGATGTAACTTGAAGGGAGTTGTTTTGTTCTTGTCTCTACTTTACCTGTTACCCTTTCCTAGGTTCACTGATGCTGAAGTACTATGAGTTTTCAGAACTTCTGGAAAGACTATAAAGTTCTAATTGTTATGGTACCTTTAGTTGGGCTCATACATATGGGATGGCACAGAATCAAGAGCAGCCCTGTTTTCCAAATGCCTAATAAGGACAATGTTTCTGAGCCAGAAAATCCGGAACTTGGATGTCCTCCGAAGAATCACATCCAAGGGAAATAGCAGGCTTGGAATCTTCAGGTAAGTTCAGTTTAATCTGGTCAACCAAATGGTATGTTCCAATGATGAGAAACGTAATCTTTTTTTTTTTTTTTTTTTACAGATTTTATTTATTTATTCGTGAGAAACACACACACACACACACACACAGAGGCAGAGACACAGGCAGAGGGAGAAGCAGGCTGGGAGCCCGACGTGGAACTCGATCCTGGGTCTCCAGGATCACTTCTCGGCCAAAGGCAGGTGCTAGACTGCTGAGCCAGCCAGGGATCCCCCGAGAAACATAATCTTTAAAAAAAAAATAGCTCTGGGAGGAAAAAGTTGGTAATAAGTTACCTACTGTTTTTATTATGACCCACTGATATAATATTATTCTGCGCTTGCTTCTAGAAAAGTTTGTTCCATGGAGACCTTGACAGTTGCCTTGCAGAGTCATTTGAATGAAAGGAGAAAGAATAGCCCATTACTTATCCTTTCCTTTTCATTAAGGGTGTCGCAAAGATCATTTGGGTGTGTCCAAAAGAGCAGTTGTCTACTTGCCATAAATCCATCCCAGAGCACATAAATCTGTAACTTATAAAAGTTCTCTCCTTTATTTTTATTGTTCTGTTTCTTTCCAAGGCAAATAATACTAATTGTATTCCTTCTTTAATATCTATAATTTTTTTGTATCTAATATTTTAGCTTCAAAATAATTTACTTTTGAGTCACTAAAGTAAGAGAATATAGTTACATAATTGAGGATTATAATCCCTCAAGTATAATTCTAAAATGTTCTAAAATCCAAAAGGTTTTGTCATAATTCTTTTGGTAGCAAAACTTGATCTTAACACATGAGGCAATTTACAGTCTGTATTTCACTCAATATGAATATTTAGTTTCACTGCAGAAATACTGTTATGTTTGATTATGAGTGTTATGATTATATTGCTTATAGGTATTAAACTCTATAGTATTTTGATTATGGGTACTAGTCACTATATTATTTTTCTAAAATCCCATAAATTCTGAATTATGAAATTAATCTGGCCCCAAATAGAGAATTATAGCCCTATAATTGTGAAGCATTTTCTATCTTAATATACCTTTTGACCTTCAGATAAGTAATAATGTGCTTTAAATTTTGACATAAGGTAGGTCAATTTAGGATCAGCTCCTTATAGAAGGAAGACTTCAGTAAGATTTTCCTCGTTCTTAAAAGGTCTATGATTTTGACATATGATAAAGCTATGATATAATATTACATTATTTTAAATCAAGATTTTATTTTTAAATGCTCTCTCAAAGAGAAAGGGAAGAGCATGGCTTAAAGTATTAAACAATTATTATAAAAAGCCAAATAGTAAAATATCAGAAGCTTCATAAAAAAGTATCCTTAAGACATTCTGTGTAAGATTTGTGTTTATAAAGGGAGTTTTAGTGGACATGATCAGGGAGTTAGAGTTTATTAGATGCTTATTTTTTTTTTATCTCTGAGCTTTTCTAGACTAATGAAATCATTAGAGAGAGTGCATAGGTGTGCGTGTGTAGAGGGAGTGAGAATTCATGTATAGTGTATTATAGTGTGTATGTGTATTACTTATGGCATAATTTTTTCCCCTTTAATTCTTGTCCTAGGAGTTTGGAGGCCTGCTATAGCCAAACTTTGAGGTTTGTTTTCTCCTTCTGTGAAAAGAAATACAAGGAATATTATTGAGGTATTCCTAGAGGAAAAGTAAAATTGAGAAAAGAAAACATCCCCTCTAAAACATTAAGGTAAAAATAGAGATTTTGGATGTCAGTGTTGCAGCACTTAGAAGTCTTAGAGTGATCAACACTGCTAGTCAAGCATCAGATACTAAAACAAGTTTGGGATGAGCAAATGTTAAACCAGATTCATTGTGACTTAAATACTGATTCTATCAAAAAAAAATGTACTGCTATATGTACCTTATTATTTTTTAATTTTTACTTTTTGTAAGATTTGTTTATTTTAGCGAGGGGGGGTGCACAAGCAGGGGGAGATAGACTCCCTGCTGAGCACAGATTCCCAACACAGGGCTCAATTCTAGGATCCGAAGATTATAACCTGAGCCCAAATCAAGTCTGAGGGGCACCTGAGTGGCTCAATGGTTGAGCATCTGCCTTTTACTTAGGTCCTGATCGCGGGGTCCTGGGATTGAGTTCTGCATCAGGCTCCCCATAGGGAGCCTGCTTCTCCCTCTGCCTATGTCTCTGCCTCTCTCTCTCTCTCTCTCTCTCTGTCTCTCATGAATAAATAAATAAAATCTTCTAAGAAAGAAAGAAAAAAAGAAAGTCACTCAGTCAAGTCTGATGCTTAACCAGCTGAGCCACCCAGGCACTCCATAACTTTTACTTTTATTATGGAAAATTGCAAACATACCCCAAAATAGAGAATAGTATATTCAACTCTTTTTTTAAGATTTTATTTATTTATTCATGAGAGACACAGAGAAAGAGGTAGAGACACAGGCAGAGGGAGAAGCAGGGGACCGGATGTGGGACTTGATCACAGGACCCCGGGATCACGACCTGAACCAAAGGCAGACGCTCAACCACTGAGCCACCCAGGCATCCCAGTATATTCGACTCTTGATTATCCATCACCCAGCTTTAACACTTAACAATATTCTCCCAGTCTTCTTTTATCTATCCTTCCGTCTCCACCCCCATTTTGATTGCTGCCAGTATTTTAAAGCAAATCCCAAGCTTCAGTGTATATCTTTAACATTAAGGATAAATACACACACAACTGTAAGTGCATTATAACACTGAAAAAAATTTCTTTTTTCATATAGCACAAGCTATCTTTTTTTTTTTTTGTATATTTTTTTATTGGAGTTCAATTTGCCAACATACAGCATAACACCTAGTGCTCATCCCGTCAAGTGCCCCCCTCAGTGCCCATCACCCAGTCACCCCATCCCCCCCACCTACCTCCCCTTCCACTACCCCTTTGTTCATTTCCCAGAGTTAGGAGTCTCTCATGTTCTCATTTTCACTGATATTTCCGAGTCATTTTCTCTCCTTTATTCCCTTTCACTATTTTTTGTATTTTATATTCCCCAAATGAATGAGACCATATAATGTTTGTCCTTCTCCGATTGACTTACCTCACCCAGCATAATACCTTCCAGTTCCATCCACGTTGAAGCAAATGGTGGGTATTTGTCATTTCTAATGGCTGAGTAATACTCCATTGTATATATAAACCATGTCTTCTTTATCCATTCCTGTTTGATGGACACTGAGGCTTCTTCCACAGTTTGGCAATTGTGGACATTGCTGCTATAAACATTGGGGTGCAGGTGTCCTGCTGTTTCACTGCATCTGTATCTTTGGGGTAAATTTCCAGCAGTGCAATTGCTGGGTCATAGGGTAGCTTTATTTTTAACTCTTTGAGGAACCTCCACACAGTTTTCCAGAGTGGCTGTACCAGTTCATGTTCCCATCAACACTAAAAAAATTAATGGTAACAACTTACTACCATTGGATACCCAGGGCCACGTATTTATTTCCAAATTTGTCTTTTAAAAAATATCCTGGGGATCCCTGGGTGGCTCAACAGTTTGGCGCCTGCCTTCGGCCCAGGGCCTTATCCTGGACTCCCGGGATTGAGTCCCGCGTCAGGCTCCTTGTATGGAGCCTGCTTCTCCCTCTGCCTCTCTCTCTCTCCCTCTCTCTCTGTGTGTCTCTCATGAATGAATAAATAAAATCTTTAAAAAAATAAAAAATAAAATAAAAAATCTCCTTTATAGGTGGTTTGTTGGAATTGGAATCCAAACAAGGTCCACATACTGCATTTGATAGATATTATCTCTCTCTTTTCAACTACTAGATTTCCCCTCCCAGTCTGCTGCTTTTTGAATGTCCCACATTCTGAATTTGGTTGATTGAGTCCTCATTTTGTCATTTCATGAGTTTCTCACTCCCGTATCTCCTGTAATCTGGTAGTTAGATCAGAAGGCCTGCTCTGATTTACTTTTTTTCTTCTTGAAAAAGAATACTTCACAGATGTGCTATTATGGTATACATCCTAGTGAACCATACTGTTTCACCTTTAATATCTAGTCCACTTTCAGTGTTGCTAAGATTAAAGTGCGTCATGGGGCACCTGTGGCTAAGTCAGTTAAGCTTCTGGCTTAGGCTCAGGTCATGATCTCAGGGTCCTGGGTCCTGCTCAGCAGGGAGCCTACTTGTCCCTCTCCCTCTGTTCCTCCCCACCCCTCGCTTGAGCTGTCGCACGCTCTCTCTCACATAAGTAAATAAAAAAAATTTTTTTAAGATTTTTTATGTATTTATTCATGAGAGACACAGAGAGAGAGAGGCAGAGATACAGGCAGAGGGAGAAGCAGGCTCCATGCAGGGAGCCCCACGTGGGACTCGATCCCAGGTCTCCAGGATCACTCCCTAGGCTGAAGACGGCACTAAACTGCTGAGCCACCGGGGCTGCCCAAATAAAATCTTCCAAAAAAATAATAAAATACATTATCAGTCCAATCTCTCCATTATAAAATCTATTATAAAATTTATTTATGATCAGGCACCTGGGTAGCTCAAGTCCGTTAAGTGTCTGACTCTTGATTTTGGCTAAGTCATGATCTCAGGATTGTGGGATCGAGCCCCATGACAGGCTCCATAATGGGTGTGGAGCCTGCTTGGAATTCTGTCTTTCTTCCTTTGACCCTGCCCCCCCCCAAAAAAAAATTATTTATGATCATTGTTCTAGTCTAGGCATTGGCAAACTTTTTTCTATAAATGACCAGACAGTAAATATTTTAGGCTTTGCAGATCATACAGTCTACTACTCAAGTTTCTATTGTAGCACAAAAGCATTCATTCATAATACATGAGCATGAGCCAATAAGAATTTATTTACAAAAATAGTTGGCAGGATATGGCCCATGGGCTGTAATTTGCCAGCCATCAAGGTGGTTTTCCTTAGGGGTTGCAAAATGATGTTCAAATTCTGTCATTCCTTTTCCATTTATGAGCTAGAACAACTTTCCCTCATCAGCAATTCAGTTACCCCTCAAAATGCATTTATCAGGAAAAGCAAGATAATTGCTTTATTTTCTTTATCAGTTTTTACAAAAATGAGTTGATGCCCTAATAGCAATGAGGGTTTTGGGGTTTGATGACAATGTGAATTCATGATTTTGCATATTATTTGAATTATCTCAAGCTATTATTATCAATATTCTTTTTATGACTCAAATTGTACCATCTTGGATGCCCTCCAAGTTGACGCCTCTTTTTTTCCTATGCTCTTCGATATGACCCAAATATGTTATTTTTTTTACAAAAAAACAGTCCTGAGCTCACCTTGTGTGTTTCTTACCTCAAACCTAGAATCAGCCATTTCTCCAAGGAAACCTGGCTTTTTTTTTAGGAGAAAACTTTACCTGTTTTTATTTCTTTAAATCATAATTTATAATGTATGTCTAAATTCAGAATACAGTCATGTAAATTTTACTGTTATTTTAATTAAGTTACCATTACTGCAAAAGCCTGCCTGCCAAGCCCATGCATCCAGGAAGTCAGTCGTTTATGTATGGTAGCCTTTGGAACTGGCCAGCCTTATAGAATATGTTTGGTTCATTTCATTTCTTTCAATTGTAGCTTGTTTTATATGGATCTAGACCCACAAGTTAGCAAATTTTGACATCCTAAAAATGATTTGGGAGTCACCAGCATTTTCAGTTTTCAGTGATTTCTTCCTTTCTCATTTTGTAGAGATATTAGCCAAAAGATGGGGTTACTGGTCTCACTACCACAAGACTGTTAGAGGTGCCAACTTAACAAATTCCACTTTTGAAAAGTTGCGTGTCACTGTTAACATATTGAAAAAAAAATTATTTTTTAACTAGAAAAATCATTTTATTGGTCTCAGTTTCCATTATGATTTATGATTTGTGTTGTACTATATCATGTAAAATAATGTATGGAAGTCACTTCACTAAGGTTTCATTTAAACGTATGTCCCAGATTTTGCTGAATCTAAAATAACCATTGAAATAATATTTAAGTACCTTGGCTGTTCCTGGCTTAAGATGAAAGATTTTTTCCTCATCTTGTAAAAAAAGACGACCAAAGCTTTATTGCAGGGAGAAAACTAGCCATCATTGCCTTTCCTTTATTGGGCCCAGTTGCCATGGTTACAGTCCTTTAAATGGGGAGGAGTGGTAACCAAAATAACACTTTGAATAACACTACCTCCCTCTCTTCACCTCTTTGCACATCTTCACATCACCTTTTTGGTCTGTATCACACTATGCCATAATCTACTTCAGGTATACTGTAGTCTGGTAGTCCAATTAGTTTTATTTATGCTAAATACTGTCCAAGTGATGAGCATAATTATCATATTCCTGAAAATAATAATTGGCTGAACCTTCACCTTCAAAGCACCTAACCTCAACAGATAAGGTCTATGACCTGAGATTTTTTATGTTTTTTGCACACATTATTAAAGTGTCAGGATTTTATGCCTCAAGGCACACAATTTATTTACAGCTTTGTTAAGGAAGCCAGCAGAAGTTGCACCTGTTAACATTTTATGGTATTTAGACCTTTTGAGATCAAATTGCAAATCAGATCCCATTTTTCTCTTTGTCAAACAGCATATCTTCTGGTTTTTATATGTACTGTCATTAATCAGAGTCTTGGAGAGGATTCAGTTGTAGGACATTAAAACTGACAATCATTGATTAATCAAATAAAACTGTATAAAATTAGTTCTGATGTTAGCCAAACATTGAAAACATGGTTTATTCTTTAAAAAAAAAAAAAAAAAGAAAAGGCAGACGCTTAACTGATTGAGCCACCCAGGTGCCCCCAAAAGACATGGCTTATTCTTTGGTACAATGTGCTGTGCAGATTTATACAGTTAGAGGTAGCCTGTACAATACAGAGTGTGTCTACTATAAAGAGACTAACAGTGCTCTTATTTCATAATTATTTACAAGCAGGGTTTGATGTAAGTGTATCTTTGTTTAGACCTACAGTTACCAAGTAAACCAGAATTCTAGAAAAAAACATTAAATCTTGATGTTAGAGAATAAAAACATTAGGGTTTTTTTTTTTAAAGACTCAGTTTTATAATGAGTTTTATAATGTAGCATTTCGGGATCCCTGGGTGGCGCAGCGGTTTGGCGCCTGCCTTTGGCCCAGGGCGCGATCCTGGAGACCAGGGATCGAATCCCACGTCGGGCTCCTGGTGCATGGAGCCTGCTTCTCCCTCTGCCTGTGTCTCTGCCTCTCTCTCTCTCTGTATGACTATCATAAATAAAAAAAAAGAATTATAATGTAGCATTTCTCTTATAGAGGCATAGTATTTTCAAATGACCTTACTGTAAGCTTTCTAGCTATGATGTTCTGCATTCCAAAATCATTCAGATATCAGTACTTTTTCTTGTAGGGATTCATTGAAGAACAAAGGAATGACTGTTAGTGGATTTTGTGGAGTCTTGTGCCAATTAGTAATTCCTTTATCTAAAGAGGGAGCAGAGCATCAAAATATTAAGCTGAATTCTATTAAATGTTTGGAATTACTTCTCTGAAATGTTTTTCCTTTATTTCTTACAGAAAGAAGCGTCTTTGAATCTGAGCTTGATATTGAAAGAAGAGATGAAAAACACCAGCTGGATTAGAAAGAACTGGCTTCTTGTAGCTGGGGTGTCTTTCATAGGTGTCCATCTTGGAACATACTTTATACAGAGGGCTGCAAAAGAATCTGTAAAATCTCAATCTAGAGGCAAACAACAGAGTATTGGAGAATGAAGTAAAAATAAATATTTGGAATTACTAATATGTCATTAAGTCATTACATGCTAATTACCTTCATAAATCTGGAGCTATTTAGTTTTATAGCCACATTACTACATGTTCAAGACTTCCATTCCTGAAGATTAATTTTTTTTTTCTAAATGTCAAGACCCCTGACAATGCAGTAAATAGAAAAAACATGGTTAACAAAATAAAAGCCATCTTCACCAATTACCACCTGAAGTAAGATGTCTCGTTTAGAAGCTAAAAAGCCGTCGTTGTGTAAAAGTGAGCCACTGACAAGTGAGAGAGTCAGGGCCACGCTTTGTGTCTTGAAAGGAATCCTGACATCAAGCTATGGCCCTTCGGGTAGGCTGAAGCAAGTGCATAGTGGCTTCGGAGGCTGTGTGTGTACAACCTCACAGTCGTCAGCCCTACTCTCTAACCTTCCCGTCACCCATCCCATCTTAAAGATCCTGACAACATCCATGCAGAATCATGTGTCATGCTTCAGGGACTGTGGCTTATTCACGGCCATCCTTTGCTGCAATCTGATTGAAAATGTTCAGAGAACAGGCTTGACACCCACCACTGTTACTAAATTAAATCAGCATTTCTTGAGCCTCTGCACCAGTTACCTCAAGTCCGAGTCCTGTGGTTGTCGAATTCTAGTTGACTTTAGTAGTCCTCAGACCCTCCTTTGTTTGGTGCGCAGTATCGTTACAAGTAAACCTGCCTGTATGCTCACCAGAGAGGAAAGAGACCATCTCAGTGCTTTGATTCTGAGAGCCTTTTTGCTTACAATTCCAGAAAACACCAAAGACCGCCTCATTTTAGGAAACAGTATAATTGTGCCTTTAAAAGGTCAGAGGGTTTTAGATTCTACTGTATTACCCGGAATTCTTATCGAAATGTCAGAAATTCAGTTGATGAAGATCTTACCTATCAAAAAATCCGAAGCCTTCAAGGTGGCACTCTTTTGTGCTTCTTTATCAGGAGATCTCTCTGATACTGGAGAAGGAACTGTGGTGGTCACTTATGGGGTTTCTCTTGAAAATGCAGTCCTGGAGCAGTTGCTCAGCTTAGGGAGGCAGCTTGTCAATGATCACGTAGATCTTGTTGTGTGTCAGAAAGTCATACACCCGTCTTTGAAACAGTTTCTCAGTATGCATCGTGTCATTGCCATAGACCGAGTTGGAGTAGCTCTGATGGAACCCCTGAGTAAAGTGACAGGTAAAAAGCACCTTCAGCTTTTGCTCCTTACAGTTAATAAATGACCCCTTTTTTTTTGAGCGGAGACATTCTTGATGTGTGTCACTGTTAACATCTTGAAAAGTTTTAGAAGCTGCCAACCTCAACAGCATGTGTATCGTTTCTGCCAGAAAAGGTGGTTTCTCAGAAACATCCTGTAATGTTCATTTTCTAAAAATTGAGTGATAATGGCAATTTCTAGGTATTTTCCAATCCCAAAAAGGCTACAGAATCTGTTAAAAATCTAAAACCATTAACTCCCCCAAATACCTTAGGAGTATGGAGAAGTTTAACAGCTTCACAATCCTAAGGTCTTTAATACTTTACACAAAATTCTTCTACTTGAATATTACAAACCTCTTACATTATATTCAGAAGGTAATTTTGTAGCTAAAATATCTCCTTTTCTCTACTTTTCTACCTCTTCACTACTGTACTTCTGCCTAAATTCCTAATTAGGGGTGGGTAGGTGGGTGGATGTGTGCGCACACTAGCTTTAAATATCCCAGATATTTCCAGCTGAGCTCCTTGAGAATCAGGATTGTCTTTTATTTTTAGTACGGACAACAGGCCTGGTCCACAGTAGGTGTTCTAAAACGTTTGTTCAACTAACCCACGTGATAAGATACAGAATTGTAACAGGCAAGAAATTCACTGTATTTTGTAAGTTAAAATCAGACATAAGGTTGATATTCACCTATTAATTACAGCCAAAGAAACCTGACAGTGTAGAGTTCCATGATTTGAGCCACTTTCAATATCCCTTTAATTGCATTGATATCAGTCATTCCATTCTGATCAATTGCAACACTTATCAGACAAGCCATTGTTAAAGTTGACTATTTTTAGTTTTTAGTTATTAACAAGTCATTAAAAGGTGGTAGTATGTATGTCAGTATTGAATACCTAATATCTCTGTGTTATTGCCCTATCTTTATAAGGCTGTCCACGATTGTCAAAGTGGAAATTATTAAATAATGGAAATGGTTCTGTGGAACTCATTGTTGATGTTCTGGATTAGACCCAAAGTTTTAAATATTTACTGGTTTTTCATGACTTTTCTGGTTGTAAATATTGGGTATTACAGATTATTTAGTTTTTAAATTTGAGCCGGGTGGCTCAGTGGATTAAGTGTCCTACTCTTGATTCTGGCTCAGGTCATGATCTCAGGGTTGTGAGAATTTTAAAGATTCACTCTCTCTAACAACAACAACAAAAACAAAAAAAAACAGTGCCTTGGTGGTTCAGTTGGTTTAGTGTCTGCATTTGGCTCAGGGCATGATCCCAGAGTCCTGGGATTAAGTCTCTCATTAGGCTCTCTGCTCAGCAAGGAGTCAGCTTCTCCCTCTCCCTCCCTGCCTCCTCCCTGCTCATGCACTCTCATTCTCTCTCACTCTCAAATAAATAAAATCTTTTTAAAAATATATACTTCAAAAATATTAAAATGTGAAACATTTTGCCATAGAAATAATAGTTTAGGGACACCTGGGTGGCTCAGTGGTTGAGCGTCTGCCTTCGGCCCAGGGCGTGATCCTGGAGTCCCGGGACCAAGTCCTACATCAGGTTCCCTACATGGAGCCTGCTTCTCTCTCTGCCTGTGTCTCTACCTGTCTTAGAAAAAAAAAAAAAAAATAGTTTAAGGGGGCACTGGGTTACCATACCAGCCAACAATTCTTATTTATACCATATATAATTAGAACATAGTGTAAATAGCCACAGCTTTAATCCTGGTTCTTGGGAGCAAAGACCTTTGGAGATGAAGGGGGAAAACAACTACACCTGAGCCAATGGCTCAGGTAAACTATGTTTTCCACCTTCCCTAGTTTATCTAAGTTAATGTTACCTCCATCCTCCCCCTTTCAGACAAAATTCCTCTTTATTGGTACAGATTAAGTAGGGTTATTGTGCATGGGCCCCTGGTGTGTTTGAAGCTTGTCATGGGCATACAGAAGATTGAACCTTTGATTTGTTTTATTTGTGAAGGAGATAATACCATCCCCATTTTACTCCTGTAGGGGGACCCATTCAGAAAAATTAAGTGACATGAGTGACTTGCTTCGTCTCCAGTGGGTCATAAGCAGCAGAGCCAAATCCTCTCAATACAAAGATTTTCTGTTGCACCCACCAAATGAAATAATAAATCTTGTAGGTTTTTTTTTTTAATCCTTAAATTTTAGATCATCCAAGTATTCCTTATTCTTTGAGGCTTCAGAAGAGAAAAATCTATTCAAAGAAGTCTAGTTGTTCAGTGATTTTCTGGGCTCCTGCAAATTTTTTAAGCTCCCAGAAAATATACTCACATTTCTGTGTGCCTTTTTCTAGAGAATACAAAATAGCTCCTAACAGATGTTCAATGAAGTATGTAAACCAAAAGAACCTCTGCTTTATTTGTATATCATTTTAATAGAATACTATTTGTTTTATAGGTATTAGAAGCATCTTGTTATTTATATTTCACGTTTTAAAGTATATGCTTAAAAAAATAAAGTATATGCTTGTGGACTTTTAATATTGGCTAAGAATCAATTTTAAATGATTATAAGTTCCATCTTTACTCATATATTTTGTGTTTTCTAAACTTTAAAAAATAGGAACACAGCCTATTGGTTCCATAGGCTCAATCTCTCCTAGTAGTTATGGAAGTGTGAAAGATTTGTGCCCTGAAAAATTTGGCTTCAAACATTTTCTTCATCTTATTCCTTATGAAGCAACTATCTGCAGCTTGCTTCTCTGCAACAGAAATGATACTGCCTGGGATGAGCTGAAGGTAGGTCACAGACTCTGCATTCCATTATCTAGGGGCTGAGGCAGGGATTTAATAGACAATAGTTTTTTCCATATAGGTGAGCTATGTATTTTGTTTTTTTGTAACTTTCCCAGGTGATACAGAAAGCAAAAACAGCAAAAATGATGGAATTAAAGTCATAAGTAAGCTGATTTACTTACCTGTGATATTACAGTAGACTGGTAGCAAGTGCTACCAGTTACTATTTCTAGTATTTACAAACAATGTAAAGATCTTTAACATGTGAACTTTTCTTAGTAATTAACTTGAACTCTGTACTTTTTTATGCTAATGTGTATGAATAATTCACTGAGAAAATTAGTTCCCCAGCCATACCCATCATCCACCTCTTAATAGAATTTGTTGTCTTCTACCAGCAATAACAAACACAACTTAGAAGTGATAACTGGGGGATCCCTGGGTGGCTCAGCGGTTTGGTGCCTGCCTTTGGCCCAGGGTGTGATCCTGGAGTCCCGGCATCGAGTCCCACGCCGGGCTCCCTGCACGGAGACTGCTTTCCCTCTGCCTGTGTCTGTGCCTCTCTCTCTTTCTCTTTCTCTCGCTGTGTCTCTCATGAATAAATAAAATCTTTTAAAAAAAAAAAAAGAAGAAGAAGTGATAACCTGTGGTATTGGTCACAATCTTAAGGATTCATGTATACTCAAGAATATATCTTTGGTAAATATGAAAGGTCTCTGGGTTTTTATTACTACCGGGTTGTAGATATTATTACTTCCACAGCAACTTGAATGGAATTCTATAGCATGTATACAGCTAACTTATGTAGACTGAAATATTTTTTTTAGTAGAAATACTAGCAAACCTTGCTGACCCAGTTATTTTGAGGCCATCCATTTGTGAATCTCAGTTTGAAGAATGAAGTATATATGAAAGATGATATTAATCTTGTCCATGGAGACAAACATCTGGCTAAAGTATTTTTCTTTAATTTCTAATCTTTATTATTACAAAATGTATTAATTACATTACAACCTTGGCAACACAAGTATTTTCTTTTGCAACTAAAATTCAGCTCTGAGTCTACTACATAAGTTCCCTTGAAAACATGATTATATTTCTTTGTGTGTCTGATGCCAATGTCTGATTCTGATAATTTGTCTCTTTTTTAGCTCACATGTCAAACTGCACTGCATGTTTTGCAATTAACCATCAAGGAACCATGTGTTTTGTTGGGAGGCGGCTGTACTGAAACTCATTTGGCAGCATATATCAGACACAAGGTAGGTTAGGTAGTCTCAGATTATCTAAATTCTCAGCAACATTTGTTTTATAGATAATAAACCAAATCACAATACCCTGCAGCCTTTAATGCTTACTTTCTCAGTAGTATAATTCAGATTTTGTATTTGAAAACACTTGAGGAAAATAATACTTGCAAATATAAGGTAGTATCTTTATCACAATGATTATTATCAATCCAGCCTTTCACCAAATGATCACAATCTTTGAGTATTGTGAAATACTGCGTGTTGAAATGAGCATTCTGGTAATGTAAATTATATACAGATTTCAACTGCCACAGTACGATAATAATTGATAGTCATAATGAAAGTATTAAGATTCTACAAAATACTTCAATACCTTCTGGACTATCAAGAAAAGACTTAGTTTCATTTAATAAAGCATTCCAAGCACTAGATTCTATTATAATTTTTAAATTTGCATCTATTTATGATATAAATTCTATCAAATAGAATGTTTTTTATTCATTTTAAGAAACTCTGTGTCCTGATAATAGATAAACTTAGTGCAGGATAGTTCTGATTATTTCATAAATACTGACCTACTTTATTTGAAAATGGATACAGAAAGGTATGTGTTTTCCAGATATTTGCAGCTGATTCTTTGGTTAGTCAGGAATGTTATCAAGAGACTGCAGGGGGTGGCTGGTAGCTCAGTCAAAGTTGAGCTTCTGACTCGAACTCAGCTCAAGTCTCAGGGTTGTGAGTTCAAGCCCTGCATTGAACTTTAAAAATAAAAAAAGAAAGCCAGAGAGACTGCATAGCTTCCAGTGGCTGACTAGGATTAGAGAGAGAATACATGCTTTTTACGGATATGCCTCACCCTGATTCCCAAAATGATTTAAAATCTATTTGATGATAAAGTCCATTCATGAAAGGTTACTAGAATATACATTATGAAAAACAAAATTAGTGCCCATGTATTGATGCTGAATATACAATAATATAGCCTGCAAATTGAATTAAGTAAACTAGAAAAAGTTTTTTGGAAGAGGAAAGTTTTTTGAGTAGGATTTTGAAGAAACAACACAGCACTGAAAATATGGGAAAAATTGGGAATACACAGTAAAGATGGTCTCATCTGGTTCATACCTCCTGGGCAGAAAAAAAAAAAAAAAAAGCAATTGCTGCTTTGAAATAATTTAGATATGGGTTTTAAATATCATTCAGTTATTAGCTTGCTAATATATTACTTCTATCATGAAATTGCTAGGATAAACTTTTTTAGAATGGTGGAACAAAAAAAGTTTAGCATTTTATTACCTTTCAATTAATTTAAAGAGATTATTTTTAAAACATTGATGTGAAAATTGCACATGTCCCTAAATGGCTTTTGTCTCAATAATTATGTGTGTTCTCATTTTAAACAAATCTCAAACACTTTGCCAGCTAAGTACTTCATTTGGATATTAGCCTTCAGGAACCTCCTCCTAATATATGCATTATGCCTTGTTCATATATTGAGGAGGCATGACTGGGCAGTCATTCAGAGAAAGCTGATGATGCGGTTTATTCTGATTCATTCATTCTGATAACATGACTAGCATATATTTATACTATAACCTACCCAATTAAGGGATAATAGCCTGGCCAGAGGACCCATGTTTGCCCATTAACATTGTGCTGAACCCCTAAGGAAATTGAGCATAAGTAGTAACTTTATAAGGGTCTGATCAAGTATCTTATTTTTAAGAACCATTTTTATAATACTGTTGTGTGTGTGTTTTCAATGGCTTTATTACTCTTTAGACTTGTAATGAGCCAGAAAGCATTCTCAAAGATGATGGATGTACTCAAACAGAACTTCAACTAAGCACCGAAGCATTCTGCTGTGCCTTAGAATCTGTCGCTGGCTCTTTAGAACACGATGGAGGTGAAGTTCTTACCGACATGAAGTATGGACACTTTTGGTCTGCTCACGCAGAGGCTCCCTCTATTGTTAACTGGCCAGATTTGCTCTCAAGATGTGGCTGTGGACTCTATAATAGCCAGGAGGAACTCCACTGGTCTTTCTTAAAAAGTACTCGGCATCCCTTTGTACCACAAACCTACCTTCCACATGAAGCTACGGGCTCAGCCGACAACCTGACCTTGGACTGTTTTACTGCTAAGCTTAGTGGCCTGCAGGTGGCTGTGGAGACTGCCAATTTGATTTTGGACCTTTCATATGTCATTGAAGATAAAAATTGATAGGATAGCATGTTTATATTTTTTAAAAACCTAGTCAGGTGTCAGTTAAGAAAAATGTTGAATGTAATTTTTTTCTCTCCCAAAGGCCTGCTATGCATATTTGGATAGATTATTCATAAAATTATAGAGATACTTAGATAAGGGGGAAAAGTATGATTCTTAAATAGAAATACCATAGCATATTAAAAACATGAAGCATTGTTATTAAAGATAGTACAGTTATCTTAGGGCTTCCACAGATGCCTCTGTATGTTCTAAATTTTTGTTATTTTTCCATCATTCAAGAGTACAGAAATAAAAAAAAACTTCCTAATCTATGCTCTAGTTTGGATATACTTATTATACTTTTTAGTAGTAATTACACATGTTTAAAATATAAACTTAGATTCCAAAGTATCACAAAGCTCCCAATACATATTGTTCAATCAAGAGAAGTACTCAAACTGCACATTTAGTAAAATTTTAGTGTTCTTTACCTGAGGCACTATCATTCAGTGGTTAAGTAACTGTCGTCGAGCCTTACCTACCTATAATTTCCAGTTTTATCACAGTTCTTTGGGTTATTTTGAGGAAATGTGTGATTAGGAAAAAAATTACTTATATAGTAACTAAGCAGTATGGAGAAAAGAAGTGGAAAAGTTATTTCTCTAGTTCACTCAGTAGTGTAAAGAAGAAACCAGAACAACTCTCATATTCAAAGTAGAGACACTTGATGTTTCACCAAGGAATATAATTTGCGTTTTATGCAAATGTAACCAATGTATTGATAAATTGAAGAAGAAATACAGGATGCAACTTGAAGAATAAGTATGGAGCTATAGCAGATGTTATATTAAACCTTAGGAAAACATTTTGAAAAATTTTGGAAAATTAAACAATGTAAGAGTCAGTGATCAGATCTATGGCCATGCTAGAAGGAGACAGAATTTTTACACAATTTCCTCCAAAATTATTCTTGTACTACAAAAGAATTTTGGGCAGCCGGGTGGCTCAGCGGTTTAGAGCCTGCTTTCAGCCCAGGGCGTGATCCTGGAGACTTGGGATCGGGTCCCACACTGGGCTCCCTGCATGGAGCCTGCTTCTCCCTCTGCCTGTGTCTCTGCCTCTCTCTCTGTGTCTCATGAATAAATAAATAAAATCTTTTTTAAAAATACAAAAGAATTTTTACCCTGAGCCAAAGAAAAAATTGCAATACAAACTCACAGCAATGCAATATATATTGAAAACTCAGCTATACCCCATGCTTCATAAAATACTCTTAAATTTTACTTCTTTACTGTTAGGGTCAATTAGAAGGGTAGTATGGTAGGTGGCCTTTAAGATGGCCCCCAGTGACCCCTCGCACTCCTGGTCTTAACACCCTTGCACAATCTCCTTTCCTTGCATGTGGGCTTAATGTAGGAACTCCTCTGAGTCTCCATTTCCCTTTGTGAACAGGAATGTCTTATTGCAGTTCTCCTATGTCTGCTTTATTATTATACGTTGGGAGCGAAAGGCACATGACTTGTCCTATTAGCTTTGGGTCTACAGATGAAGAGGAGTTCCAAAGCATATCCAGAGGAGCCTTGCCCACCCTGACCTGATTTCAGTGATAAGACTCTGGACTTCAAGCTGATATTGTAATGCAGTGAGACTTTTGGGAATCTGGGGAGTGTGTGAAAGTATTTTGCAATTTTGCATGTGATGGGCAACCTCTAAGCTGGCTCCCTGATCTCACTTCTTGGTAGTGCATCCTTAGAATGTTCATGGGACATAATGACAAACTTTTAATGAGTATACAGCAGAAGTGATAGGATGTCACATTATAAAAAGATGGGTTTCTCTCGATTTCACTCGTTCACCTTGATGGAGGCCACCTGCCAGGTTGGGAACCACTTATGGAGAGGCCCACATAGCAAGAGACTAAGAAAGGCTTCCAGCCCACAAGGAGCTGAATCCTACCAACAAACACAAGAGTGATTTTAGAAGCATATCCTCCCTAGTGGAGAGCCCGTGCCATTGCAGCCACACAAGAGGCCCTGAAGCAGAGAACCCAGCTAAATTACTCCCAGATTGATTCCTGACCCACAAAATCTCTGACATAATAAATCCCAAGTTTTGGGTGTAATTTGTTATGCAACAATAGACATAATAAAGGCAGGAACAAATGCTTATTTAGAATTACATACTGAAAACTTGGTCACACAATGGACAAAAAGCATTCTTGATGCCATTCCTCTGCATTTCCACCATCCCTCCAAACATAAAGCCAGTGTTCTTTATCATTCATGTTCACAGTGGGGTTTTTACATTCACTTAAAGCATGTCACATGGAGGGGTGCCTAGGTGGCTCAGTCAATTAAGTGACCGACTTTTGGTTTCAGCTCAGGTCATGATCTCACGGTTGTGGGATTGAGCACCACCTCCAGCTCTGTGCTTAGTCTGCTTCAGATTCTCTCTCCCAAATAAATAAAATCTTAAAAAAAAAAGAATAAAAAAAGAAAAGAAAGAAAAAAAAAAGAAAGAATGAAAAAAAAAGAAAGGAAAGAAAGAAAGAAAAAGAGAAAGCAAGCAAGCATCACATTGAAATATGAGAATTCCCCTGGGTCTCCTTGGCCTTCTACTGGATTTCCAGGTTATTCTAAAAGGGACGCCACAGTGAATCTCTCCAGTTGACCTTAGAGGTTAAGAGCCTCTCTTACTTCTCATGATAGCCATTAGCTCTGCCATTCTTAGCTTTGTCATAAAAATTCAGTTACAAACCTTGGTGAAACATTAGTACTCCCATTTTTTAATATGTCATGCATTTGTTGAAATAGTTTCATGAAGTTTTTGCTTTCCGAAGTTTTATACAATCCTTAGTAGAAAATACTGTAAATAGGGGTAGTAGCCCCAGTGGCATAGCGGTTTAGCGCCGCCTGCAGCCCAGGGCATGATCCTGGAGACCCTGGATCGAGTCCTGCGTCAGGCTCTCTGCATGGAGCCTGCTTCTCCCTCTGCCTGTGTCTCTGCCTCTCTCTCTCTCTGTCTCTATGAGTAAATAAATAAAATCTTTAAAAAAAAAAAAAAAGAAAAAAGGAAAATACTGTAAATAATTAAAAGAAAAAAAATACTTAACAGTTCAAGGAAGTCATCATTCAAACTCAGATGGCAAAATATGAGATGAAAATTCTTTTTAAAAAATTTTATTTATTTATTCATAAGAGAAACAGAGAGAGAGGCAGAGCCATAGGAAGAAGTAGAAGCAGACTTCCTGTGGGGAGCCTGATGCAGAACTCGATCCCAGGACTCCAGGATCACGCCCTGAGCCAAAGACAGACACTCAACCACTGAGCCACCTAGGTACCCTGAAAATAATTTAAAAAAAAAAAAAGATTTTATTTATTTAGAGAGAGCATGAGTGCTCTCTCTAGCACTCTGCCCCTCCTTTCAAGGCAGTGGAAGGAGGGGCAGAGGGAGAGGGAGAGAATCTCAAGCAGACTCTCCACTGAGCATGGAGCCTGAGCAGGGCTCAATCCCACAACCCTGACACCATGACCCAAGCAGAAGTCAAGAGTTAGACACTTAACCAACTGAGTCACCCAGGTGCCCTGAGATGAAAATTCTTGATGAAAATAATTTCAGAGGAGCTTATTTTGACAGAAATAACAAGAAAAAACAGGAACTAAGTTAAGCCTCAAGCACTGGTTTTGTGATTTAAAGTTAAGATTGAGGTCTGAGTATTGCATTACAAGGTTCCTCAGGAGACAGAACAAGAAATCTTGATAGTTACAGAAAAGAAAAGGGAGAATAATGCTCAAGAGGATGAAGTCAGTGACAGCTGCTCATGACTTTTGTGAGACAGGATGGACAGTATTCAAGTTTATTGAGTCCAAGAAGACTAGCATCTTATTAATCAAAAGAGGTTAAAATTTTGGCAGAAAGGAAAAAATTAGAAAACCAAAGCAAATGAAAAGAGTCTTTTAAGTTGCAATACTTACTTGGTCTTGTAAATACCACACTCCTTAATTCATCCACTTGTACTATATTAAAAAATATGGGGCAGCCCAGGTGGCTCAACAGTTTAGCACCGACTTCAACCCAGGGCCTGATCCTGGAGACCCGGGATTGAGTCCCGCATCGGGCTCCCTGCATGGAGCCTGCTTCTCCCTCTGCCTGTGTCTCTGCCTCCCTCTCTCTCTCTCTCTCTCTCTCTCTCTCTCTCTTTCTGTCTCTCATGAATAAACAAAACCTTAAAAGAATATGAACATATTAGATATTTTAAATCAATCATAACAGTGAAGTAGTTTCCCCAGGATATTTAAATTACATATTATTAGTATCTTTTATTATTAGAGTATCCTTGAGCTCATTTAGTTCATGCAATCAAAGGTAGTCAGGCATTCATATGATATTAGAGAAAATTTAAGTACTTCTGTAAGATCCATCATATCCTGTATTCATCACACTGGTGAACAGTTCTTTGGATAACTTTAAAATAAAACAATATTGTTCATAGTCACATAAACTATGCAGGTTATTATGTAAGAGCATCATGTTCAAAAATCACTTACATAATTAATGCAGGCTCTGTCAAACATCCAATTAGTTAGGTTATTCATTACTTTCTGATAATCTTGGGGGAATAGTCAAGGAGACTAAACATCTCATACAGGGTCCTGTTTCAGCTGTCTCAACAAATCTATCTCTTAATCTGAAGGAAAAGGCAAGTTTGAACATCTGATATTTTTATAATTTTTTTAACCTGTAGTTAAATGTTTCCACTTAGTAGCAATGGTATCCCATAATCCTTGGAAAATTTTGCCACTTCCCTACAAAAATTTGAATTTAAATGTATGTAAACCAATGTCAGCCTGTATCTTTAGGTTACAAGTAAATGTATATACTTCTTTATTAAGAATATAGTAATACTCATAAAACAGTGAAAACTGAAAAGGTTTGTTTTCTGTGTATACTTTTCTAAAATGTGATCACATAGTATGTTGTTTTATAATCTGTTCCTTTTACCTAATATGTTATGAACATCATAAACATGTATAATCACCACATATTCCACTACTACATTATTTTTAATTCCTAAGGAAATTTCAGTTGTAGAGATTCTACCATAATTTAATCAATGAGCTTTTATTAGTATTATACAATATAAGCAAAACCTCAGTCAGTATCTTGTATTTATCCTTTTCCCATGTCTGGATTATTTCCTCAGGATGAATAAATATAATCAAGATATCTGGGCTCAAGTATTTATTTGAAATGGGAAAACTATTAATGTACATTGTCTTAATTATTCAGTCTTCCAGAAACGTTGCATCAATATGCTCTGACCACAGCATTT